TGGGAGGCTCTGGGCACAGATTGCCCGGGATGTGGCTGCGAGCGGGACAGCGAGGGACCTGCCGCAGAGCACCGAGCACGCTGCACTCCTCAGCATCCACTCAGCTGCAGCTGCGCTCCCTGCATCCCGAGCTCCCTGCATTTTCCTCCCAAGTGTTGGATTAAAGGCATGCACCTCCATGCCCTGCAGAGTCACGTATTTTCTATGGCATCAGTTTGGTCAAGCATTCCCAGCATCTCTGCTTCCTAATCACACCCTATGATGCCAGTAGTGCTCCTGTGGCTTGCATAGTACACAATCTCCCCAACTTGAGCTCTTCCTTGGGCAATTTAGGAACAGCTGAGTGGCCCTGGAGGGCTGGACTGGCCAAAGCCTCTGTCAGGCTTCATTCCCAGACCTCAGGAGCCTAAGCTTATTCCTTCAGATGGATGAAGTAACAGATGAGAAGAAAGAAGCAGAGGAGAAGGATGGATAGATACAACAGAAGACCCAGAGTGGTAATCATCTGTGGTGCTGGCTGGGCCTGGAGCTCTTGCAAGCCTTCCTGAGCTTGTAGCTGACTTCCTGCCTTGACCCCGAGGACTACCTCCTCTGGAACAATTTGAGAAGTCAGCTTTGACTCTTGCCCCCAGGGAAGGGGCTCTAGACCTCAAGGGTTTCTCAGCCACTATGAGGTCACAAATGCTCAGAGGGTAAAATTTTGTCCTCAAAGCTACAACTAAATCTTTTATTAATAGAACCAGTGTGTTGAAAGGAGGAATCCTAATATATATAGTCATATTTTTTTCTATATATATACCTGCCAAATGGAAGTATCTTTTCCCTACATCTAGGACTATTCTGGTCATTCTTAGGAACCAAAAAATATTGCAAAAAGCTAGGTATAGCTGGGTGTTTTGTCACACACCTTTAATCCCAGTACTCTAGAGGCAGAGGCAGGGGCCTCTCTGTGAGACTGAAGCCTGCCTGGTCTGTGTTGCAAGTTCCAGGCCAGCTAAGGCTACATAGTAAGATTTTTTCTCTAAAAAACAAAAAACAAAAAACCAGGGCCAGGCGTGGTGGTACAGGCCTTTAATCCCACACTTGGGAGGCAGAGGTAGGCGAATTTCTGTGAGTTCAAGGCCAGCCTGGTCTACGTAGTGAGTTCCAGGCCAGCTGGGGCTACAGGGAAACCCTGTCTCAAAAACACCAACTAAAATCCCAGGCTGGCCTCAAATTGTCTATGTAGCTGAGGATGTCCATGAATTCTTGATTCTCCTGATTCTCCCAACCAAGTGTTGGATTATTGGTCTGAGTCACATTCCCACAGTCCTGGGAATGAAACCCAGGGCTCCATATGTAGTAAGCAAGTACTCTACCAACTAAGCTATGTCCCTCGTCTCCTGTTTTTAAATGCTTTATTCCTTCTTTCCTCTCCCATTAAATAAAGATAAGTAAAAGTATACTAATCATTCCAAAGGCCCCTATACTTGGAAGGCTTGGAATCTCTCCCAACCTCATGGCTGCTCTGTGAAGGAGACAGGGCAGGAAGAGGCAATCCTCCTTCACAGAGTGGGAAATAGCCTTGGCAAGGTAAAGAAACTTGGCATAGACAAGAGGCCAGCCTTCTGTCTCCTCGATGGCCACAAGAGACCGCCACCTATTGCCTCACTGTTGTGTAGGTGGGGTGACCCCCAGCCCTGGCCACAACCCCACCTCTAGCCAATACTCACCAGGAGAATGATGCTCCCAAAGTAGGTGGCCCTCAACAGCATGTCCAGATCCTGTGGCACCTGAACAGGGTAACTGGGAGTAAGACAGGGGTGTTGGAAACTCCATCATGGGACCCTCTTCCCTACCCTCAGACCAGGCCTGGCATACCTTGTCCCCCACCAGCGTCAGCTGCAGGGCCCCGGCCCGGAAATAGCTCTCCATGGCAGAGTCAAAGAAGAACTCAGAGAAGCCCACATACACCATCCGCTCCTCCTCCTGCAGCTGGGGCTCCACTGCCCTGTTGAGGAGGCTCCAGTTCCCCTCGCCCAGCGGGTAGAATGCTCCCTGAGATTGGGAACCCAATGTCAGAGTCAAGGCAGACTGCACTGTCTCCTGACGCTGTGGGCTGTGGTAGGTGCAGTCAGGGACCATGGGAACTGGACCCCATGGCTGCTCTGGTGAGGTTCACAGACTCATCTCTCAAAAGACATACAAGGAAATGAGGGCATCAGGAGTGTGGTGGGAGGACCAGGAAAAGAGGAGTCGGAGTGGCCTTGAACACTGGGCAGCAGTGATCACAGCCACTGTTTTTACATATTCATAATGGCCATTTGGGGCTAGGTAGACTTTCAACCTTCTCCCATCCCTGGTCTCAAATTCATGACAATCCTGCCTCAGCCTCTTGCATGATGGGCCTTGCCTCTGCCTCCTGAGTGCTGAGACTGACTACAAGTGTGTGCCACCATGCCTGGCTGAGGTGTGTGTTCTTACTCTGTTATTTCCACTTACATATCAGGAAACCAGGAGACAGGTGAAGACACTTGCCTGAGGGCCTTGGCAGGGTCAGGATTTGAACTTCAGACATTCAAGCTCCATACTTTGCTACCCAGCACTGGGAGAAGCAAAAGTAGCCACATACCAGCTCTCAGGCAAGAGACATCACTTCTATGACCAAGTCTTTGCCTCATCCTTAAACACAGTTGGGGCACCTGTGTGCTGAGGACTGAGTCCTGCTCTACAGGATTCTCTCTCTCTCTCTCTCTCTCTCTCTCTCTCTCTCTCTCTCGACCAGGTTGGCCACAAACACAGAAATCCACCTGCCTCTGCCTCCTGAGTGCTGGGACTAAAGGTGTGGGCCACCA